AATTATTCATGGAAGGAAGGGGACCAGGATTTGATCCCATGATAGCGTTTCCTTGTAGATGGTTTTCCTGACCAGTGGAGTATGCTGTTAATGCCATATTTAAACTTTATTTTGAGGAAAATCTTGAGTCCAGTAACTTGGTACACACTGTTCCATATTGCATAGTCCTTGTTTCTACCCTCCAATAGCTTCAGCTCTCTGTGTGGTGCAGATCACCTTGTGTATTGGAAAACTGCCTGATCTGTTGATATCACGCATTGGAGAGCGGAATGGAATCCTGAATGATTGATTTGTCTTAGAAGTGTCAGAAGATAGTAAGACACAAAGGCACAGATCCTCAAGATATTTAGGAATTTGAGAATGTGGCCTAAAGTTCTTTATTTGGAATAATTACATAGTTCTGCTATCTGAGTTTTCATTCTTTCCTTCTTGTATCAGTCTTGTTAAAATGTTTAGCAAAAATGCTAATATGGTGACTCAGTTTTGTATGTGAATTTCTAGATTGCTCCTTTAGAACTCTGTGTGTGTGTGTATAATTTTAAATTAATGTCTAGACAATTGATCAATATTAAACAGCATGATTTCCAGTGAATATTAGCATTAAAGTTAAAACTGCTGTCCTTTCATAACTGTAAGTCAACAAGAAAAGTCATCCAACTATATTATATGCCATCTTCAGACAACATTATACTTCAGAACTGTGCTGCAAATTTTTCACATAGAATGTAAATCCATAGTATGGAATAGACAACCCTTTTTATTAATATCAGATGTCAAATGGACCTGACAAAATCCCAGAGTTTTAGACGACAGTGATATTTTTGAGTTACTATCTATGTTGAATGAACTTGGCTTTTTATTGAATGTCTAAAGAGTCACTTTCATGTTGTACAAATAAGGCGATTGCTTTTTTTTCTTCTTGAAGGAGTGATTTGCTTGGAATCAGTGACTGGAATTTGACAGATGTTCTCAAATACCACTGTCAGTTTTGAAATGTTTGCAATTTGAGTTTAAAATGGTTAATAATTAATTAAATTTGATGGGGGAAGAGGAAAGTATTTTTGGACACAATTGTCATTTTGGTGAAAGTGACAGGTGAAGTTGCAGGACATTGCAAAATCATTGTGCTGTTGCAGATTACAATAATGCTGAGTCCATTAGAGTTCCCATTTCATAGTCATTTTCATTGTTGGCAAAGGCTTTTATGTGACAAGAAGCTTACAACGACAAAATGTTACATTATAGAATCATCTAATTCCATTGTACCATGTGGATTTCATGCTCACATGATTTATGCATGTCAGATCATATGTACATTTGAGGAAAAAATCTTTTCATGAGCATGCTGATTTGTTTTCATTGATAGGTTTATATTACTGGAGTTTTCCTCCTATCTTCGTTTCCATATCATTCTAAGTGCTCTTAACTTATACATGTAAAAGGACCATCTTTAGGATTTTGGATTATTCTTAGGGAGGGGTGCATCTACACTGTCTCCTTTTTTCTTTACTTTCCCCATCATTATGAATCTTCATTTTTCATACTCTCTTTTGTACCACATCCTAAATATTTTTCCCTGATTCAGAAAGGTGGCTTCAATGGAACCAAACACATACTTAAAGTTATGTGTGTTTTAAAGTATTTTGCTGAACCAAGACTTTTATCTCACTGGCTCAGCATAGTCAAGGAAAGGCAGCCGGGCCCCCAGTGGAGCAGAGACCAATGTTCTCAGACTGTAGATCCAACAGGTGAGGAGCTATTCACTAAATTGCTGGCTGTTCTGAGAGCAGAGAGATCATGTACACAAACATGTCAAGGGGTTTAAAATGGAGCTAGAGAATAACCCCCCACTCAAGTGTCCCATACTACATATCATTTTCTAGGAGCTAGAAGACCAAGAACTCGGAGTTTTAACTTAATTCACAGTTGCTCCTAGTGAACTCAATCCCCTCCCCTTAATCATAGATTTCTTAGATTCCATTAACCAGAGTTTATCGTTGTTCTGTGATCATAAAACAAAATGAGTCTGAATCTCCCCTCTCTGAGGTAAATTAGATGTGAACCCCTTGAGGTCACCTGATTGGCCTGAGGGCAGAAGGGAGAGTGTGCAAAATCTTCTCCCACCACCAGGGGCAAGGGCACCGAAAAGGGACGGGGAGGTGGAGGCAGCAAAGGTTCTCTTGCATCCCCAGACCAATCATGGTCTGTGAGTGGGGAAGCAGGGAAGTATCCTGACCCCACCCTTTCTGCTTGAGGCCCCGCCCCATTTGTTGTGGCCTGGGGCCATTAAAAAAATTTCTGAAATTATTGCCACCACACTAAGGTGCCACAGGACTACTTGTTGTCTTTACACGTTAATTTGGTAATGTTATGGGGCTGCTTAAACTTGACATAATTTAGGGCCTCCGCATATCTTAATCTGGCTGGGGCCACCTGCGTGGGCCTGAAGCCCTTAGCTTCTACTTTGGTCCTCCCACCTGGGGTGGCGGGGCTCACATGGGTTCTGGCTTCAGTCCCGCCTCTTGGGGTTGTGTAGTAATTTTTGGTCTTGGAAGGGGTTGCAGTGCAATAAAGTATGAGAATCCCTGGTCTATCTGTAAACTCCTGGTTTCTGTATTCTGGTTTTTATAGCTCAAGTAAATGGTTTTATCAATGCAAGATACTTGTCTTTAGATTCTATTTCACACTTTCACTTACAAAATTACTACAGCTGGAGCTGTTGAATTATTTCTTTGTTATTCAGAACAGCAGGTGCTGGAACAGCCTTTTGGCTTGACTTGCACTAACCTAGTCCATGCTTTCTGGCGATTTGATTGGATTTTGCCATGCAGTTCAGATGGGATGCTAGTTCTCCAACCAGTGTATTTTATTACACAGTCAGTTATATAGTGCCTTATTATTATTATTTCCATAAATTGCTTTTAATCTGGCAGATGTCTGTTGTGTCTGGGTTTGTTCCAACTACAATTTGCATTTTTTGTTCTTATGCTGTTCTAAAAGACATTGGAAGTTGTAGCCTGACTTTGTATAATAACTGGTGCTCCTAGGGCTATGCTAGAACATTAAAACAGGGGCAGGACTACATTGTTGTTTTGATTTATACATACTGAGAAAGTACTTATGACTGGACATAGGAACTCTGACTAATTTAAAAGCACAAACTAAATCATACAATAAAATCCTGGTCACTTCCTCAAATGATGTTAAATGATATAAACAGTGACCAGAACCCTCTTCCACTTACGTTTGGTTAGAAGGTTGGAAGCTCTTATTCTGGAGCTGAAACTAATTCCCATTATCTATGATTTTGTCCTCTTAGAGTCAGACTCTAGCAATGAAACGAAAACTTAACCACTTGCCAAAATGGAAACTGGTGCTGGATGTGGCCGCCTGTTTTTGAAGCAGTGTGTCTCACTGGGAGCACGTTACACCAGTGCTTCATGCTCTAAAATGAGTCTGTAGATGAAATATGTTTGTCAGCCTATAAAACCCTTCTTTCTTAGGCTTGCCTGCTTGAGAGCACTGCTTTCCCTGAGCCATACTGAGAACACCCCAGTTTAAAAGACTCAGCGCTGGTGGTGTTTTCCATATACAGCTCTCAACTTTGTAATACTCACTTACTTCTGTTCCAAAATAACCAGAATTAGGGCAATGTCTATCTGTGTTTCAAAACTGCTGGAGAAAATTGAAAGATATTTGGGACTGACGTCATCTATCTAATACTGGTTATCTTTGTTCTTTAGATTGGGAGAAAATGGCTAAACCCTCCAATTGCTTTCTCCAATTGAATACTAAGGAGGTCAAAGTGTATCACTGTACACAGTTAACTAATGAGCCTGGGCTCATTGGTTAACATTCACAGTTACACAAAGACTCCCAGTACACACAGGGAGCTTGCTTGAAAGTCAGCTCTCCACATGCACCAGCTCCTGGGGAACCACCCGTCCCTCCCCCGCCCCCCATACACAACTGCTGAATTCTTCAGTGGTTACATGGTTAATTAATTAGACACATTTTAACATCCCTATTGAGCACCATCATCTAAATCACTGGATTGATTTTATAACCAGCTAGTTCTTCTGCCTGTACCATCTGGGAATTGGGTGGTATCCCTTTGAATATCTTATGAGCCCTCTCGAGGACATCCTTGTTTTCTTCTGCAGAAGTGAGGCCTTCTAGGCTTCTGTATAGATAGTAAACATGGTTATTTAGAATCCAGCTCTGTCCATGTGGTTTCAAAGTGGTTGGGGTTAGGTTGAGTTAGCTAATATTTGTTAATTAAGTACTGTTAAATCTCACTTACATGCTAAGCTAAACCTGACCTAGCCTTGACCACTTACGCTTAGACAAAACCTAAGCTGTGATCATAACAGGGCTTTTTACAGTGTCAAATTGTCTTGCAATATTTTGTAGGATGGGAAAGCAACTCCATGCTGTCTCACCTAGAAAGGGGGGAGGGAGTTCTAATACAAAAGTAGAAAATTTGATAACATTTTGTATTTAAGGGAAGAGCTTTGTGAGGTTTCAGTAAAACTTGTATACACATTAAAAGCTGAGGACACTTTTTTAAAGTTAAGTTTGTATGGAGTGATCCTCATCAAGGTTGGAGAGGCAGAATTTGATGGAAGAGATGCTTCTGGGATAGAGGTGCAGATGGTTATCACATCATAGCAGGACCATAGAATGCACAATAGCTAGACCTAGGAGTGGCTGCCCCTCAAACAAACTTCAGATTCTGTGAGGTTCTCATATGGAATCATCTTGGTATCCAGAAGGATCAGTTCAGCCTTTTGGTTTAGACATAAATTGGGTGAAAATTAAGCTTAATCTTGTCCCTACTGCCTTTAATTTAAAAGCTCTGGGTTGTACTGACCCACACAAGATGGTGATATTTCCAAGTTTAAAGTCCATTCTTATGTTTGCCATAAAACCATATTTTGACCCTTTTGGGGGAAAATGTGTTCTTGTTAAAACTAAAACTAAAACTTATTTTTTTACAGGTGTTGTCTCAGAAGCTAAGCAAAGAGAAAGCAGGTAAGTCCATAGTCTTTTGCAAAAGACATTTTACTAATTTTAAGTTATACCCAAGTAAAAGTTTCTTGAGAAACTGGGTAGACACTTTAAAAGAATATACATGTTAATAAAACATCTGTGGGAATATGACATTTTATACTAGACCGCATGTCTTTTGGTGCTATTGTTTTTTACTATTGTCTATGAACATGGGGTATGTGTGTACCTATATTATCTAGCCACTGTTAGGCCATAGGGAAGTTGCAAGTTCTGCTACTTTGGAATTACAGCTTGTAAAGTAGGTTCTGAAATGTTATGATAAAATAAAACATTTCTAAAGAGCCAGTGTCCATGATGTGGAATTTGACAGTATGCCAGCATCTGGCCTCTTTCTTGCCATTATTTAAAGTGTATTTGTTTAGCTAGGAGTTTGGTAAACCATTTATGGGACATTAAGGAGGGGTCAGTGGCAGACTGATGTGTCCATTAACTATTGGTAGTACCCACTTATTTGATCAGTACAGGGGAAATTGTAATTAATTGTAAGTACGTGGGGCACACAAATTCACAGCATTGGTCATTACGCTTGTAGAAATAAATACTTAGTAATCCATACTTAGTGTGACTACTAGGATCTAGAACAATGATTTGTGCACAGAGGTCCTCATTCATCATGGCACTGAAATATATATTCAAATCCCATTGATTTCATGAGTCCAACTGATTTCAGTGAGATGTAAGCCTGTGCGTGAGTGCTTTGCTGAAATAAATCCAGAGCTCTTTAGTAAATTGTAACTGAGAGCAATGAAGAAATGTAGAAAACTGCAGGTATTTCCAAAACATTTCTTAATAACAGTAATAGACTATTGAAAAGAAGCCTAAAGAATGACTTGGTGAATCCTTATTGTCACATAACCTTATGTCCATCAGAATCAAAATCATCAAGTATGGGATCTCTGGATCTGCACTACTCCGAAAAAAAGTGTTTCCTTTTACTTAACCAAAGTGCAGTGATTATGCAATACATGCTGATTAACCATCAAGCACTTTTATTATTTTCTCCATGTTACCCTACTTCTCTTTATCTGGCCGGTGGACTGGTTTGAGCATGCCCTCTAACCCTGTGATCTCTTCTAGATCAAATTAGCATCTGTCCCCGCTCTTTCTATTCCCAATTGCATCTTCTGTTTTTCCAAGGACTATTTTAACTTTGCTAGAAAGAGATGAGCAAATCATTTTTGCAGCCAATGTCACTGGCTCAATGGATCAGCTGGCAAAGGTGCTGCTTTAGCCCAGTGGTTGGACTTTAGCCTAAGAAACTGAAGACTTAATTAGCAGGTCTCTGCCCATCTATTTTGCCATTGTGTCAATGAAATGTGATGGTTGTTCATCATGCTACAGTTCTCTTATGTTTTTGTGTTTGTTAACTTAATCTACTGGATCAGTGATATTTTTGAGGAAACAACATTGATACTTGCCTATGAAATATAAGTATAATTTATTCTGAAGGTGAACAGCTTCCATAGATGCTGATATTGATGTAATAATAAAATGTTTTCTCCAGTTCTTTATTGAAATATCTATTTGAATCAAATGCTCTATGATGCACTGGAGACTGAAATCTTAAGGGATTTATATGCATGTAAAATTTTAAGCAAAATGGAGTATTTAAACAGCATTTCCAATATTTTGACTCTGATACATTTCTTAATTGCTTTTCTTTTATGATAATATATAATTTGCCTTTGCAAGAGAAATAAAATTTATTACCCATCTTACAGCTGGGGAATGCTTGCTGCAAATTGGATAACAATAGGCATTGTGACAAGTGATTTTTCTGTGACAGTTTGATCACTGAAGTGGGACTTTATCCATGGAATAGAGCTAGTTGGGAAATTTTCAATGAAACTATTTTTCTTCTGAAAATTGAAATTAATCAAAACCAAAACTTTTGGCAGAAAGTCTGTTTAAACAAATTTAGCATCTCATTTTTTTGGGGGGAGGGGGGAGGATTTATATATAACTGAAATATCATGTTTTTATATTTTCAGAAGAAAAAGTGTTTTCATTCTGATATGACTTTGTTTTGAAACTTAATTTATAGTAAAATAAAATGTAAAATGAGCAAAATCAAAATGAAACTTTTTGAAATGATTGAAACAAAGCATTTCAATTGATTTGAGCTGAAATTTGTTTTTCAAATTTTTAGTTCACAAAAATTTTCAAGATTTTGACTTTATCCCAATTCAGAGTGGGGAAAAAATTTTTGAAATCTGAAAAATTCGGTTGGGATTGGAAACCAATTTTCTACCCAGCTCTGTTACACAACACTTGCGTTTCCCTACCACTGTAAATTTCCTTATTATTATCCATTATAGATCAATACTATTTTAAGTGAAGTATTTGTAAAGGAGAACAGACTTTGCAAAAATCCATATTTAATGCAATACCAAGCTTGTGAATTTAAGCATAATGAAATTAGGAATTTAAGGTTTGTGTTGCAAAATAAACTTGTCCACAATGGACATGCTACCTATTAAGATGTATTTTGAGCAGGTGAAATAGGTAGGAATAAATGGTCAGTTTTTACAATGGAAAGATGTAAATAGCGGGGTCCCCAGGGATTTGTACTGGGACCAGTGCTTCAATATATTCGTAAGTTATCTGGAAAAAGGGCTAAATAGTGAAGTGGGAGACTGTGCATACAATGCATAATTATTGAAGAGAAGAAAGTCCCCCAAATGTCACCCCCCCCCACGTTTATTTCTTGGCACTCCTGTCTTTCTCTTTCCTTGATATTCCTCCTCATTCATTTTCCTTAGTCACCACTTCCACATTCCTTTCATTTTCCCCTTTGCCCTTTCTTTCACTTTTCTTGACCCTTTCCTCTTTATAGACTCCTTCCCTCTTCTTTCAACTTGTGTGCCATACTCCATTTTCTCTTCCTCTATGGTTATCGTTGCCTAAAAAATGAATTCTCAGTGGTTCATCAGCTTCCCCGCCCATCACCAGGCTACCAGTTGTTTAGCAGGGAGTCCTCACTTCCAGCCTGAATAAGGAAGTTGCCTATGAGCCAGTGATGAGTAACAGTGCTACAAGAGTGCTGGGCAAAAGGAGTTTGGATTAGAAATCAAGTCCTTTTTCCTGTCATTGGTTGGCACTGGCACCAGTGTTCCTCGGGTCAGGTCAGGGGCATACATACGTTATTTTCCACATGTAAATCTCTCCACATGTAAATAGCGGGGTCCCCAGGGGTTTGTACATTTTTGTCAGTGAGGGGAAAATACTTTCCTTTGTACTGCTTTTTCTTTCTTTTCTTTTGCATTTCTTAGCTTTCGTAAATAAATAAAAGATGTTTGGGAGGCCATTTTCCTGGAGTTTCAGAGTGAGTTCATTGCAGTATGTTTATCAGAATACTTAAAATGTTTTCTAAGAAAAGCTTCAGCTGCACAGAGTCACTTGGCCCCCGTGGGAAACCTTCTATGGCAGACCAATGTTGTTAGAAATGTAGTGAATGACATGCTAGCAACTCTGTTAGCACAGTGCCCTAAGAATATGGCAAAATTTCTATATGTGCGAATTTTTAAAATAATGTTCTGCTCATTAAAGATGATATACATTAGGAGACAATATTAAATACTGGCAAGAAGTGAGCTAGTAAAAGTACTCCAGTTCTACTTTCTGATTCATTTCCATGATACTGTATGCTATACTATAAGAGTTTCCACTTCTGAACAACACATCTAACCTTTGGAATCAAACTCACCACAATGATTTTCAAATAACTTAAACAATAAAATAGAGGATCCTTATTTCCAGAGGAAAAGATGGATTTTCTCTAGGTTTGGAATTCACATTTCTGTACAGTTGTGGGTGATTGTACCTATATCACAGTTAATTACACTGATTGCATTTGTAGCCCCAGAAGCTCTTCATCTTTTAGTAAAGTACTTTGGCCAAAATGTTCAAACTTGTCATACACCCAAATAAGCACCCAAATAAAGGCCCAAATTGTCAGGGGTATTGAGGAACTGCCACCCATTCCCAATGACTAATAGCAGTGCTCCTGAAAAACCTGGCCACTTATTATGTAATTTTGTAGCACTAAATTAATGACTACTTATTAAAAGCTGTAACCATGGCTAGATCTACACCACAGAGTTTTTGTGCAAAAACGGCCATTTTTCCGCAAAAACATGAGGAGCGTCCACACCTCAAGTGCGTTCTTGTGCAAGTAAAACGAAAGATCAGAGGGTTTTTTCTGGTATAGGTATTCCTCTCTCTATGAGGCATAGCTCCTTTTGTGCAAGAGCTCTTGAGTAAAAAGGTGTGCGTGGATGGGGACAGGGCTTTTTTGCACAAAAAGAGGCAATCGAAAAAAGCACAGGTGCCCTGGTGGCCATTCTGTAAATAGCAATCCGAGTTTCATTTAGAGAGAGTGTCCATGCAGTCTGGATGCTCTCTTGCGCAAACACGCATCACTTTTTCCATGCGCTTTTGCAGGGTGGACATGCTCTTGCGCAAGAAGTTTTTGTGGAAGATCTCTTCTGCAAAAAGCTTCTTGCGCAAGAAGCCTGTAGTGTAGACATAGCCCATGCTACAAATGTTGTATAATGAGAACATTACTTGATTCTAGATGTTCTAGAAATCTTCTGGCAACTGCTCTGTTGTCATTTCACAGGGGAGTTGCTGTTCTGCCCTGGTGGGATACAGTTTCTGTAATAAAATAGCCAACCACAACAGAGAAAATGCATTAGAGGAAGAAAATTAATAGCCAGGTTGACACATTATTATTCCATACAGTAGCAAACTGTGCTTTTATTGTTCTTAATAGTACTTAAGAAAACTTTGTAAATGAGGATTTGAGTAGTGTTGAAGTTAAGTGACAAATAATAGAGTGTAATCCCACTAGTAAATGCCAGATAGAATCATAGAATACTAGAACTGGAAAGGACTGCAAGAAATCATCAAGTCTAGTCCCCTGCCCTCACGGCAGGACACAGGACCATCTAGATCATCCC